ACACTAACCAGTACCAGGGTTCACAACACTAACCAGTACCAGGGTTCACAACACTAACCAGTACCAGGGTTCACAACACTAACCAGTACCAGGGTTCACAACACTAACCAGTACCGGGGTTCACAACACTAACCAGTACCGGGGTTCACAACACTAACCAGTACCGGGGTTCACAACACTAACCAGTACCAGGGGTTCACAACACTAACCAGTACCAGGGTTCACAACACTAACCAGTACCAGGGGTTCACAACACTAACCAGTACCAGGGTTCACAACACTAACCAGTACCGGGGTTCACAACACTAACCAGTACCGGGGTTCACAACAATAACCAGTACCGGGGTTCACAACAATAACCAGTACCGGGGTTCACAACACTAACCAGTACCAGGGTTCACAACACTAACCAGTACCAGGGTTCACAACACAACAGTAACCAGTACCGGGGTTCACAACACTAACCAGTACCGGGGTTCACAACAATAACCAGTACCGGGGTTCACAACACTAACCAGTACCAGGGTTCACAACAGTAACCAGTACCAGGGTTCACAACACTAACCAGTACCAGGGTTCACAACACTAACCAGTACCAGGGTTCACAACACTAACCAGTACCAGGGTTCACAACAATAACCAGTACCAGGGTTCACAACAATAACCAGTACCAGGGTTCACAACAATAACCAGTACCAGGGTTCACAACAATAACCAGTACCGGGGTTCACAACACTAACCAGTACCGGGGTTCACAACACTAACCAGTACCGGGGTTCACAACAATAACCAGTACCAGGGTTCACAACACTAACCAGTACCGGGGTTCACAATACAACAATAACCAGTACCGGGGTTCACAACACTAACCAGTACCAGGGTTCACAACACTAACCAGTACCAGGGTTCACAACAATAACCAGTACCAGGGTTCACAACAATAACCAGTACCAGGGTTCACAACAATAACCAGTACCAGGGTTCACAACACAACACTAACCAGTACCGGGGTTCACAACACTAACCAGTACCGGGGTTCACAACACTAACCAGTACCGGGGTTCACAACAGTACCGGGGTTCACAACACTAACCAGTACCGGGGTTCACAACACAACACTAACCAGTACCGGGGTTCACAACACTAACCAGTACCGGGGTTCACAACACACAACACTAACCAGTACCGGGGTTCACAACACTAACCAGTACCGGGGTTCACAACACTAACCAGTACCGGGGTTCACAACACTAACCAGTACCGGGGTTCACAACACTAACCAGTTCACCACTAACCAGTACCGGGGTTCACAACACTAACCAGTACCGGGGTTCACAACACTAACCAGTACCGGGGTTCACAACACTAACCAGTACCGGGGTTCACAACACTAACCAGTACCGGGGTTCACAACACTAACCAGTACCGGGGTTCACAACACTAACCAGTACCGGGGTTCACAACACTAACCAGTACCGGGGTTCACAACACTAACCAGTACCGGGGTTCACAACACTAACCAGTACCGGGGTTCACAACACTAACCAGTACCGGGGTTCACAACACAACAATAACCAGTACCAGGGTTCACAACACTAACCAGTACCGGGGTTCACAACACTAACCAGTACCGGGGTTCACAACACTAACCAGTACCGGGGTACAACCAACCAGTACCGGGGTTCACAACACTAACCAGTACCGGGGTTCACAACACTAACCAGTACCAGGGTTCACAACAGTAACCAGTACCGGGTTCACAACACAACAATAACCAGTACCAGGGTTCACAACACTAACCAGTACCGGGGTTCACAACACTAACCAGTATCGGGGTTCACAACACAACAATAACCAGTACCGGGGTTCACAACACTAACCAGTACCAGGGTTCACAACACAACACTAACCAGTACCGGGGTTCACAACACTAACCAGTACCGGGGTTCACAACACTAACCAGTACCGGGGTTCACAACACTAACCAGTACCGGGGTTCACAACAATAACCAGTACCGGGGTTCACAACAATAACCAGTACCGGGGTTCACAACAATAACCAGTACCGGGGTTCACAACACTAACCAGTACCGGGGTTCACAACAATAACCAGTACCAGGGTTCACAACAATAACCAGTACCGGGGTTCACAACAATAACCAGTACCGGGGTTCACAACAATAACCAGTACCGGGGTTCACAACACTAACCAGTACCGGGGTTCACAACAATAACCAGTACCAGGGTTCACAACAATAACCAGTACCGGGGTTCACAACAATAACCAGTACCGGGGTACAACACTAACCAGTACCGGGGTTCACAACAATAACCAGTACCAGGGTTCACAACAATAACCAGTACCGGGGTTCACAACAATAACCAGTACCGGGGTTCACAACACTAACCAGTACCGGGGTTCACAACAATAACCAGTACCGGGGTTCACAACACTAACCAGTACCGGGGTTCACAACAATAACCAGTACCAGGGTTCACAACACTAACCAGTACCGGGGTTCACAACAATAACCAGTACCAGTACAACACTGACCAGTACGGGGTTCACAACAATAACCAGTACCGGGGTTCACAACAATAACCAGTACCGGGGTTCACAACAATAACCAGTACCAGGGTTCACAACAATAACCAGTACCAGGGTTCACAACACTAACCAGTACCGGGGTTCACAACAATAACCAGTACCGGGGTTCACAACACTAACCAGTACCGGGGTTCACAACAATAACCAGTACCGGGGTTCACAACAATAACCAGTACCGGGGTTCACAACACTAGGGGCCTTGTAGCCTGGTGGATAGCGCGCAGGACTCGTAATTCTGTGGCGCGGGTTCGATTCCCGCACGAGGCAGAAACAAATGGGCAAAGTTTCTTTCATCCTGAATGCCCCTGTTACCTAGCAGTAAATAGGTACCTGGGAGTTAGTCAGCTGTCACGGGCTGCTTCCTGGGGGTGGAGGCCTGGTCGAGGACCGGGCCGTGGGGACACTAAAGCCCCGAAATCATCTCAAGATAACTACCTCCCCCCCCCCCTGTCATTCTGCTGTTATAACTACTTTGTTCACACAGTTGTTCGGACTGATGAACATATAATCACCTGTACGAATGGTCCCGTGTTCGTTGTGTTGTGTTCCCGTGTTCGTTGTGGTCCCGTGTTCGTTGTGGTCCCGTGTTCGTTGTGCTGTGTTCCCGTGTTCGTTGTGCTGTGTTCCCGTGTTCGTTGTGCTGTGGTCCCGTGTTCGTTGTGCTGTGGTCCCGTGTTCGTTGTGCTGTGGTCCCGTGTTCGTTGTGCTGTGGTCCCGTGTTCGTTGTGCTGTGGTCCCGTGTTCGTTGTGGTCCCGTGTTCGTTGTGCTGTGGTCCCGTGTTCGTTGTGGTGTGGCCCCGTGTTCGTTGTGGTCCCGTGTTCGTTGTGTTGTGGTCCCGTGTTCGTTGTGTTGTGGTCCCGTGTTCGTTGTGTTGTGGTCCCGTGTTCGTTGTGTTGTGGTCTCGTGTTCGTTGTGTTGTGGTCCCGGGTTCGTTGTGCTGTGGTCCCGGGTTCGTTGTGCTGTGGCCCCGTGTTCGTTGTGCTGTGGTCCCGTGTTCGTGGTGCTGTGGTCCCGTGTTCGTTGTGGTCCCGTGTTCGTTGTGTTGTGGTCCCGTGTTCGTTGTGTTGTGGTCCCGTGTTCGTTGTGTTGTGGTCCCGTGTTCGTTGTGTTGTGGTCTCGTGTTCGTTGTGCTGTGGTCCCGGGTTCGTTGTGCTGTGGTCCCGGGTTCGTTGTGCTGTGGTCCCGGGTTCGTTGTGCTGTGGTCCCGGGTTCGTTGTGCTGTGTTCCCGTGTTCGTTGTGCTGTGGTCCCGTGTTCGTGATGTTGTGGTCCCGTGTTCGTTGTGCTGTGTTCCCGTGTTCGTTGTGCTGTGTTCCCGTGTTCGTTGTGCTGTGTTCCTGTGTTCGTCCGGCTACCACCGTGATTTCGCGATATAACGTATAACCAGTCAGTGTTCTCAACAATAACAGTCAGTGTTCTCAACAATAACAGTCAGTGTTCTCAACAATAACAGTCAGTGTTCTCAACAATAACAGTCAGTGTTCTCAACAATGTTAGCCAACTATGGTTCCGGGAATACAAAAAATATCAGCATTTTGATGTACTTTTTAAAAACATTTTCAGATAATTTATTTGTTTGAATTAGACCTTTATGTGACATGATATAACATTGTCTACACTCACACCCTCCCAGCATGCCCAGCAAGACTATGTCTACACGCACACCCTCCCAGCATGCCCAGCAAGACTATGTCTACACTCACACCCTCCCAGCGTGCCCAGCAAGACTATGTCTACACACACACCCTCCCAGCGTGCCCAGCAAGACTATGTCTACACACACACCCTCCCAGCGTGCCCAGCAAGACTATGTCTACACTCACACCCTCCCAGCGTGCCCAGCAAGACTATGTCTACACTCACACCCTCCCAGCATGCCCAGCAAGACTATGTCTACACGCACACCCTCCCAGCATGCCCAGCAAGACTATGTCTACACTCACACCCTCCCAGCGTGCCCAGCAAGACTATGTCTACACACACACCCTCCCAGCGTGCCCAGCAAGACTATGTCTACACACACACCCTCCCAGCGTGCCCAGCAAGACTATGTCAACACTCACACCCTCCCAGCGTGCTCAGCAAGACTATGTCTACACTAACACCCTCCCAGCATGCCCAGCAAGACTATGTCTACACTAACACCCTCCCAGCATGCCCAGCAAGACTATGTCTACACTAACACCCTCCCAGCGTGCCCAGCAAGACTATGTCTACACACACACCCTCCCAGCGTGCCCAGCAAGACTATGTCTACACTCACACCCTCCCAGCGTGCCCAGCAAGACTATGTCTACACACACACCCTCCCAGCGTGCCCAGCAAGACTATGTCTACACACACACCCTCCCAGCGTGCCCAGCAAGACTTATGTCTACAAATCATCACCTACCTTTAAACTCTTGCATCTTGGGTCTAGGAAGCTGGCGACGTGGTGGAGCGGCGTGAGTGAGAGGGCCTCGGTGAGGCTGGTAGCCAGGTGCTGCTTCAACTGCTGTAGGGGCGGCGAGCTGGCTGGCGAGGCGCACAGCTGCAGCAGTTTTGCTCGACACAACACAGCTTGGTTGAGGGTGGGGCGCAGAGGGTCGCGCACCGTCAGGAGGCAGCGCCTCACACCCGTCAGGAGCTCGGCCACTTCCTGGTAGTTGAGGCGCTCGCCTAACAAGGAGCCGCCTGCCTCACAGCCCGCCATCACCACACACAGCTCGTCGTGGTGTGCCGTGATGAAGGTGAGGGCGTGCAGCAGGGCGTCCCAGCGACGCACCTCGTGGGGCTTCAGGCCACAGCCCGTCACGCTGGCCACGCCAGAGTCGGCCAGGAAGGACAGAACAGACGCCACGTCGTCACAGATCTGTCTGTAAGACGGCTCGTCTGCGAGGCCCTCGAGCACGGCCTCCGTGGCGTGCCAGACACAGCGCACGCCCACCACACCAGGCTCGGCGGGGCTGCCCTGGTCGCTGACCACCGTCACGTGCTTGTCTCTCATGGCTGCCGGCACCAACACGTCGCTGAAGAAGTTAGCGAGGAGCGCCGTCACCGCCTCCTCCTCCGTCTCCTGCTCCCCCAGGCGGTGCGCGCCCAAGGCGTAGCTCCGCAACTCAAACTTTGGAGTAATAAAGTGTATGGCACCGGTGAGGAGGTTGAGTTCGCGGTCCTGGTGCAGGGAGAGGCAGAGGTTGGGCTGGTCGAGCACGGCCCTGGCGATGACGGAGCGGGAGTCGCCGGCCATGGGGCTGAGGAAGGTGTTCAGCAGCTGCCTGGCGGAGGGCAGCGGCTCCTCCTCCCTGAAGGTCCCGTGCGCCGCTCCAAGGTTTAAAACTGTCCACACTAACCTTTGGAAAGCAGAGGTGTCGAGGGCAGAGGCGGCCACCAGGTCCTGACACATGTAGCGGAGTAACGCCCGCGCCACGCCCGCCATGGCTGCTGTGGGCGCCAGCGGTGCTTCCTCGGACAGAGATCGTGGACCATCGCTCTCGATCTTGAGTGTGAGGCTGAGCGGTGACCCTTGAGGCGAGCCCGGCTGGGCGGCGTGGGCGGGCGCCGGGGAGTGGGCGCGCACCGTGGGCGGCGGAGAGTCACCCAGCCGCGGGTCAACTTCTGGAGGAGGAAGCACATGGTGGTGCGGGCGGGAGTTGAGGTCGGTGGCGGAGCACCTGTGCCTGAGGAGGCCGCCGGTGCCGCTGTACTTGGTGTAGGTGACCACCTTGAGGCAGTGCTTGCAGGCGGCGTACTGCCTCACCACGCCGTCCACCACCACCACCGAGAACCTCGACCACACGTCAGAGATGTAGTGCGACCCTCCAGCGTCCTTCTCGGAGAGGGTGATGCGGGAGGAGCCGCAGCTCACCAGCTGCTGCACCGCCTCCTTGCTCAGCTCCCCGCCGCCCTCCTCCACGCCCTCGTCCTGGCCGCGCCCGCGCCCGCCGTACCTGCTGGGGGACGCCGACCCTCGCAGGTCCTCGGGCACCGCGCCCCCGTCACTAGTGTCCGCGCGCTCCTTCTTCACCTTGGCGCGGCCCCAGCAGGAGCTGCTGGCCTCGCCGGGGCTAGCGGGGCTGCGCGCCCTCGCCTCCCGCACCACCACCTCCACCCGCGCCCTCTTAGCCTCCTGCTCCTCTCTCTCGCGCTGGTGCTGCTGCTGCTGTCTGTGCAGGTGTTCCAGGTGGTTGTGGTGCAGCTGCTGCTGTAGCTGCTGCAGGCGCTGAGGGTCGGCGAACAGCCCGGTGGCGTTGGCGAGGTTGAGCGCCGTGAGGGGGTGAGCCGCAGCTGCCGCCACCAGCTGCGGTATCTGCAGGAACCTCAGGTCTATGGGGAAGGAGGGTGGAGGGGCGCCGGCCTTCCGCTTGCGGCTCCCGTGGGAGGCGGTGAGGGTGGTGGTGGGCTGGGCGGCGGTGGGCGGCGAGCCCGTGCTGGTGGGCGAGGAGCGGGAGGCCGTGGTGGTGAGGGACACGGGCGAGGACCGGGCACTCCCGCCATCACTGTACACTGGCACCTCCTCATGCTTGATGGAGATCGCCTCCTCCTTCACACTGTTGTTGTCACTCAACAAGAATGTGTCACCCTTGTCGGCGGGGGTCTTGAGGCCGGCCGCCGCCGCCGCCGTGTCCACCGGCAGGTTAAGCTTGGCCGAGAGCTTGACGGCACGGTTGACCGGGGACCTCTCTGAGAGGGGGTTGCAGGGATGGCGCAGGAGGCTGGCGGTGCCGCTGCGGGAGTCGCAGTGCAGCACCCGGTAACATACCTTACACACGGCGAACGGCCGGATCACATGGTCCACTCTCACACGATAATAGAATTTCCAAGCATCAGCGCGCGCTTTTTGGTTGATCTCCAGCTCCAAGCGGTCGGAATGCTCGAGGATCAACCTTTCGATAAACGTCTTGTCCACGACCTCTGTCATATTCGCACCGGCCCACGCCAAGCACACAACTGGCTCGGGCGGGCGCGCGTGCGTGAGTGTACTGTAGAATGTGTCACGGTCACACGCACGACTAGGAACGTGACGGGAAATTTATAACAGATCGTTCTAGCGGGCTACACCCACCTCGGCCAAGCCTGCCCATTTCCGCACTAGATCGCGTCCGGCTTCACGAATCACGCTTGCCACGACACGAAACACTGCACATGATGACGGAGAAATGGGGAAAACACACGCGGCTACTTCTCCAAAAGCCATAAAAACAAGTCGGTGTGAGTAGCGTGCGCGCCGGCTAGGACGCACTTGGGCCCGGGAGCCGCTGGATGTTGATTCGTCACGGAGGCGAGTGAGTCAATACGCGGCCCCCACGTGACGGGATCACCTCTCCTCGCCCCTCACGGCCCCTCTCCCTCGCCCCTCCCCCTGCCCCTGCCCCTCTTCTCTAACACTTCACTCACGACATAGTGCGTAAAGGTGCGAGGCGACGCTAGGCCAAGCTCCACTGTCGCCAGCACCCGGCGCGTCCGTAGCGCCAGCTGATGAGTGTGTGCAAGCGGAGAACGGTGACCCTCGCCAACACCTGATCTTCCAATATTCACTCTTACACTCCTACACTCACTCTTACTAAGTCATTATTCCTCCAGCACTAGCGTGAGCCGTCACTGTACACTACTCCGTTATCACCGTAGTCGCCTCGGTGTTAACTAAGGTGGTGGTTGTATGGGGGCTTACGTGGACCCCGTTAAGGTGAGTTACATAAATGGCGGAGCTATGCAGGCCCATAAACAGCGGTGGTGGCCGGTGGTGGAGGTGGTCAGGCCGGCCCCGGGCCACCACAACACTCACTGAGGTTCGTCATGTTCTGTTGTAGAGCGTCCCTCCTCCGTGCACTAGCCGGACACCAGCAGGAGCGGCTGCCACTAGCAGGCGTGGGGTGGTGGTGGTGGCGGCCACGACAACACCCACCTAGACTAACACAGCAGTGAGCGAAGATGTGTGGTGGCGGGTCGTCCCTCCGTGGGGCTAGGCGGCGGGGTGGGCTAGGCGGCGGCGGCGGCAGGCAGTGGTCATGCCTCCAATACTAATTAGGAGCGGACCGGACCAGCGGGTAGACTCCTCGCTCCTCCACCTCCTGCCCTTCACCTCCACCACTACTCTCCACCTCTCCACTACAACCTCTCTACCTACTCTTAAGGGGTCGTTAGTGGCGTGATGAGGCAGCCACCTCGTTCCCTTGACCACTATAAACAACTGCTGTATTACCCTCACACACCCGCTCACAAGTCAACAAGTGCCCCCCCCCCCACACACACACACACGCACGCACTTTAGGGGTGTTTTGGGGCCCGTTACCCATTCATGAATGGACGGCGCGCATTCACAATTTCATTCTTAAATGCTGTTAAAGATTTTGGAAGGAAGAAATAAGCGGGAATGTTAGGAGGGGGAAGCATAGTGAGTGAAGCCACAGGTGTGTACGGCCCGGCCAGGTGTTGGGGCGGTCACCTGGTCAATATCAACGGAAACTGAGCCTTACAGGAAGCGACGCAGCGCCCCAGGAATTTGAGAGAGTGCGTGACAACCTGCCCACAGTTGCCATATTGCTGGCCTCGCCGGCTCTTGCACTCAATATGACTCTTGAGTGCAAGGTGTGGATGGTGTAGGTGTGTGCTAGAGACGGTGAGTGTGTGGTGGTAGTGGGCAAGGATTCGTGACGGGCAGGTGTTGCCAGGGCCCCCGTGCCCAGGGTGTGGGTCCCCGTGCCCAGGGTGGGCCCCGTGCCCAAGGTGGGCCCCGTGCCCAGGGGTGGGCTCCGTGCCCAGGGTGTGGGCCCCGTGCCCAGGGTGTGGGTCCCCGTGCCCAGGGTGGGCCTCGTGGCCAGGGTGGGCCCCCGTGCTCAGGGTGGGCCCCCGTGCCCAGGGTGGGCCCCCGTGCCCAGGGTGGGCCCCCGTGTCTAGGGTGGGCCCCCGTGTCTAGGGTGGGCCCCCGTGCCCAGGGTGGGCCCCCGTGCCCAGGGTGGGCCCCGTGCCCAAGGTGGGCCCCGTGCCCAGGGGTGGGCTCCGTGCCCAGGGTGTGGGCCCCGTGCCCAGGATGTGGGTCCCCGTGCCCAGGGTGGGCCTCGTGGCCAGGGTGGGCCCCCGTGCTCAGGGTGGGCCCCCGTGCCCAGGGTGGGCCCCCGTGCCCAGGGTGGGGGCCCCCGTGCTCAGGGTGGGCCCCCGTGCCCAGGGTGGGCCCCCGTGTCTAGGGTGGGCCCCCGTGTCTAGGGTGGGCCCCCGTGCCCAGGGTGGGCCCCCGTGCCCAGGGTGGGCCCCGTGCCCAAGGTGGGCCCTGTGCCCAGGGGTGGGCTCCGTGCCCAGGGTGGGGCCCCCGTGCCCCGTGTGAGCCCTCGTGCCCAGGGAGGGCCCCCGTGCCCAGGGTGGGCCCCCGTGCCCAAGGTGGGCCCCGTGCCCAGGGGTGGGCCCCCGTGCCCAGGATGGGGCCCCCGTGCCCAGGGTGGGCCCCGTGCCCATGGGAGCGGCAGGCCGGCACCAAATACCAGGCTTGATGCACCGTAGCCCGTCATCTTGCAGCACACAACAATACTTTACTGTACCATTACTCCCTCCTCAATATTGCTCGTTGCAGATAACTCAAAGTTGCAGTGAAATTGGTTAAATCAAGATCCCAGGTAAGGCGGGAGAGCGGAGCGGACCTCCTACGGCTCAACATGGCAGCCACGAATCTTGCAATTGCAACGTGACAAAAAAATCAGCCTGAGGCCTGACGGGCTCGGCCCCTTGCATGCTTAGGTGGCGGCGGCGGGGCACGGAGGCGGGCCGCAGGAAAGCTGCCATTCTGCCCTCACCAAAGTACCAATTGAGGCCAAATACCACGGCAGCCGGCCGGCCGGCCGGACCGGTCCACCACCTGCCCTACCTGAGGACATGGCCGTCCCGGGCACAGCTGTGGCTGCTGCCCACCTGCACGTGACGGTACCAGGCTCGGGCACGGCTACCAGGCTGCCCGGGCATGGGGCGCGTCGCCCCTACACAGGTCTTGTGGCACTCTGGGTAACGGGTTCACTCGCGGTCATCACGCGGCAAGCCTTGACACTCAGAGCTGGCACTGAGCCGCAGCTTACAACCCCGAGGGTAACAAGTTGAGCGTGACTGGCAGCGGAGGGTTGATGACCAGGTACCTGTGGAGGACCTGTGCGTGAGGCGACCAGTGGGCGGGGGCTGGAACCTGTACCTGGGGCGAGGCCTACCCCGGGGCACCAGGCTTCGTGACCCGGCCCCGCCCGCCTCACTACGCATATTGACCCAACCCCCACATACCCAGGGTAAAGGCTGCACCCTGGCTTGGGTGCCCCGTGGGAGCACACTCCCACAGTGAGGCAACACTCCCACAGTGAGGCAACACCACCACCACACTCCCACAGTGAGGCAACACCTCCACCCCCACACTCCCACAGTGAGGCAACACCACCACCACTACACTCCCACAGTGAAGCAACACTCCCACAGTGAGGCACCACCACCACACTCCCACAGTGAGGCACCACCACCACACTCCCACAGTGAGGCACCACCACCACACTCCCACAGTGAGGCACCACCACCACACTCCCACAGTGAGGCAACACCTCCACCCCCACACTCCCACAGTGAGGCAACACCACCACCACCACACTCCCACAGTGAAGCAACACTCCCACAGTGAGGCACCACCACCACACTCCCACAGTGAGGCACCACCACCACACTCCCACAGTGAGGCAACACCACCACCCCCACACTCCCACAGTGAGGCAACACCTCCACCCCCACACTCCCACAGTGAGGCAACACCACCACCACCACACTCCCACAGTGAAGCAACACTCCCACAGTGAGGCACCACTAACACACTCCCACAGTGAGGCACCACCACTACACTCCCACAGTGAGGCAACACCACCACCACCACACTCCCACAGTGAGGCAACACCACCACCACCACACTCCCACAGTGAGGCACCACCACCACACTCCCACAGTGAGGCAACACCCACCACCACCACACTCCCACAGTGAGGCAACACCACCACCACCACACTCCCACAGTGAGGCAACACCACCACCACCACACTCCCACAGTGAGGCAACACCCACCACCACCACACTCCCACAGTGAAGCAACACCACCACCACCACACTCCCACAGTGAGGCAACACCACCACCACCACACTCCCACAGTGAGGCAACACCACCACCACACTCCCACAGTGAGGCAACACCACCACCACCACACTCCCACAGTGAGACAACACCCACCACCACACTCCCACAGTGAGGCAACACCACCACCACACTCCCACAGTGAGGCAACACCACCACCACCACACTCCCACAGTGAGGCAACACTCACCACCACCACTCTCCCACAGTGAGGCAACACCACCACACTCCCACAGTGAGGCAACACCCACCACCACCACACTCCCACAGTGAGGCAACACCACCACCACTCTCCCACAGTGAGGCAACACTCACCACCACCACCACCACACTCCCACAGTGAGGCAACACCACCACCACCACACTCCCACAGTGAGGCAACACCCACCATCACACTCCCACAGTGAAGCAACACCACCACCACCACACTCCCACAGTGAGGCAACACCACCACCACCACACTCCCACAGTGACGCAACACCACCACCACCACACTCCCACAGTGAGGCAACACCACCACCACCACACTCCCACAGTGAGGCAACACCACCACCACCACACTCCCACAGTGAGGCAACACTCACCACCACCACACTCCCACAGTGAGGCACCACCACCACCACCACACTCCCACAGTGAGGCAACACTCACCACCACCACACTCCCACAGTGAGGCAACACCACCACCACCACACTCCCACAGTGAGGCAACACTCACCACCACCACCACACTCCCACAGTGAGGCAACACTCACCACCACCACACTCCCACAGTGAGGCAACACCACCACCACCACACTCCCACAGTGAGGCAACACCACCACACTCCCACAGTGAGGCAACACCACCACCACCACACTCCCACAGTGAGGCAACACCCACCACCACCACACTCCCACAGTGAGGCAACACCACCACCACTCTCCCACAGTGAGGCAACACTCACCACCACCACCACCACACTCCCACAGTGAGGCAACACCACCACCACCACACTCCCACAGTGAGGCAACACCCACCATCACACTCCCACAGTGAAGCAACACCACCACCACCACACTCCCACAGTGAGGCAACACCACCACCACCACACTCCCACAGTGACGCAACACCACCACCACCACACTCCCACAGTGAGGCAACACCACCACCACCACACTCCCACAGTGAGGCAACACCACCACCACCACACTCCCACAGTGAGGCAACACTCACCACCACCACACTCCCACAGTGAGGCACCACCACCACCACCACACTCCCACAGTGAGGCAACACTCACCACCACCACACTCCCACAGTGAGGCAACACCACCACCACCACACTCCCACAGTGAGGCAACACTCACCACCACCACCACACTCCCACAGTGAGGCAACACTCACCACCACCACACTCCCACAGTGAGGCAACACCACCACCACCACACTCCCACAGTGAGGCAACACCACCACACTCCCACAGTGAGGCAACACCACCACCACCACACTCCCACAGTGAGGCAACACCCACCACCACCACACTCCCACAGTGAGGCAACACCACCACCACCACACTCCCACAGTGAGGCAACACCACCACACTCCCACAGAGAGGCAACACCACCACCACCACACTCCCACAGTGAGGCAACACCACCACCACCACACTCCCACAGTGAGGCAACACCCACCACCACCACACTCCCACAATGAGGCAACACCACCACCACCACACTCCCACAGTGAGGCAACACTCACCACCACCACTCTCCCACAGTGAGGCAACACCCACCACCACCACTCTCCCACAGTGAGGCAACACCACCACCACCACACTCCCACAGTAAGGCAACACCACCACCACCACACTCCCACAGTGAGGCAACACCCACCACCAACACACTCCCACAGTGAGGCAACAACACCACCACCACACTCCCACAGTGTGGCAACACCACCACCA